GGGGGGCGCCCCCCCCCCCCACTTGTATAATGGTTGGGGAAACACTGGATGTGGATTCAACATGGAGCTGCCACTGAGACGTCTTCTACCAGTTCTACTGGGTAATGTCATGTTCTAGCAGATGGTTCTGAGGTTCTACTGCACTGGGTTCTATTGGTTCCACTGGATCATAATCCCAAGCAGCCGGTGGAGGCAGATGGTCTCCTGTCCTGAGCCTGGTTCTGCTGGAGGTTTCTTCCTGATTAGCAGGGAGTTTTTCCTCTCCACCGTTTGCTCAGGATGGGAGACTGTGATGAAGTGATTCAACACAATCTGCTGCTTTCTTCTTTACATTGTTCTTTTTATGTACAGTGTCCTGAGACAACGTATGTTGTGACTTGACGCTATATAAATAAACTTGAAACTTGAAACATTACAATCACAACAACACTATGGCTTTAAAAAAATGAAAATCAGGGCATAAATTACCAGGAACGTTGTAGTTGTTGCAGAGCTCTCCTGTGCAACACATGTCCTTGATCACAGTTTTGATTGTGCCACAGTTGACTGAGGCTTCACCACATATTTTATCAACACTACACCCATTAACTTGTGCGTCTGAAATCTTTATTCCATCTGAAACCAGAGAGGAACCATTAGAAAAATCAGGAAAGAAATAACAAGTAGAAACAGCACAAACTTACCCAAAAATACAAAGATTCTTGATACCTCACACTGGGTGGTCTCTGAGGGGCATTGCTTTGATGTTTTTGGTTCAGCACAAGTTCCAAATATGTCTGGTGTACACTCGTAACAGTTGACCGTGTCCGCTGAGTAAAATGATAAGTAAGTGTACTTTCATCCACACACATGAAGTGAACATAATTGTCTAATTTTTCCAAAGGTTTTATTACAGCTCTTGGGGAAAAAAAGCACATTTAAATGAAATGAAGATAAGAAAACAAAAAAGAAAACTGCAGAATAAAAACTTAACTTTTGGAAGAAAGCAAAATCACAAAAATCAGAGTAAAAAAGAGCATTTTTGTTTGCAGGACGTGTAAGTTTTACTTTCTGTTCTGATAAGTTGAGAAGGGCAGGACAACACTGCACTGCACAGACCCCTACTTGGATCATTTTTATGGCTTTCCTGAAGTGGGCGTGTCCTTCAGAATCAGACCACGCCTTCATCCTTCCTTCGCTAAGCTGTCACTCTTTGCAAGAAGTTGACTGGTTTAAAAATACTTTTATCATTTGTACTTTACTCAGTTGTTCTCAGCATGGATTTGCTTTGGCAGAGAAAATGTGGCATGTTTTCAAAGGTGCCACACACAAATTCTGCTGCTCAACACATGTATTTCCTAACTAATATGGCAGCGAGGAGAAATGAACAGGCTTTATATTTGGTAGTTTGATTCTTGGTTGCTGATTTATTGCCCAAAAGTATATTTAAATACAGAAATACGCAACTAAACACAAATTTTCTTTTTGTGCTAAGTTTACATGAAAACTAATTGGTTTCTGTCATCTTTATCAAAATGTTAAGAAGATATAATTACTATGAGTGATACAGAATTAAATTGTTTTATCTATAAAAAAAATCAAAAGCTAAATTAGGCTGTTTTAAAAATCTTAGGTAAATTTTAACTTTCTAAAAATCTAAAAAGTCATAAACGATGCTACTGTTTGCATCTGCTTTTAAAGTGAAATCAAAGAGGCCCCAGCAGCAGCAGCAGTTCAGCACTAAACTGTTGTTGCAGCAGTCGCCTTGACAGCAGCTGATTTCTGCTCCGGTTAATTGTTTTATGGCTGCAACGGATTCACCGAGGCACATCAGCTTGGAGGCGCAGCCCTTCATGGTCAGCTTCTGTCCGGCTTTTGTCACTGAGAGAATGGAAACAAGTTCTCCATGTGAGCCACATGTTTGATAGAACTTCTTAACATTTGTCTGGATTTAAAGATGCGGCGCCCTGAGGAGGAGGAGGACCTCTTACTTGTCGATTTGATGCAGTAGTCTTCATTCTTCTCACAGTTTAGTGTTTGACCACACACTGGTCCTTCACAACTTAAGCACCTTCTGCCATTTTCAGAGAAACTGATGGGATCTAATGTAAAAGAAAAGAAAACACTTTTAAAGATGTGTTAAAATCAGTTTGTAAAGTTTTGACAATTGTTTGAATATAAACTGATCACTGTGGTGTACAGGAGCATGAAGTCATTGTTAACTCTTGAAAAAAATCACAAATTTTCTTAATGTGTCCATGTTCATCTTATGTTTGAACTGTTTTTGAAATAAATTACTGTATTGATGCGTGTACTATGCAATAAATTTAACCCCAAATGTCATCAAGAAATTTGAGGGGTCATTTTAAACACGGGAGTAAATTATGGCCCAACTCTTCCTAATATATCCTGATGCATCTCTGTTATCCAGGTAAAAAAAATCAAAAGAAATAAATTGTATAGGTCTTCTGGACGGGTTCTTCTYTAATGAAACGTTTCGTCTCTCCTCCAAGAGACTTCTTCAGTCTGAGAGTTTCAGG